TTTCAAATAGATAAAACAAGATAATTTTTGTGTGTACTTTAGCTTGTTGAGCTGAAAGTTATCTTTATGAAAGAGATGGAAATTATTTTAAAGTTTTTTAAAAGGAAAGAAACAAAACAATAAAAACGCATCAACTCCCACCCAGAAACATTGTTGTACATCTCCAAAATTAAATACTCAATGAGTCTAGTCTAGTATAAAGCAAAAAGAAGTCAAAGGTACCCATCCTGAAATTCCAGCAAAATCCCAGCATTTCAGCACCAGTGGAAGAACAGTATTTCAGATGGGGATTTTTAGTACCGTGCTTTTGGACAGGCATGGTGTTGTGATGGTTCTGTGACTACAGAAACTCATCAGCTTTTCAGTTGGTCACTTTTAAATTGTGCATTGAGATTCTTAATTGAAAACATTTCTATAAAGTAGAAGACATCTAAAATGTATGGGAACATGTATTTTAGCAAATATTTGCATAATTTTGCCCTGTTCTTTCTTGTTTATATAAAATAACTTGCATAATTGTGCAAACTTTTGTTACTTCTCAAGCTTCTTGGTTGAGTTTAAGTGAGTTTAAACAAAATGGTTCTATGAAATTGAGAGCTTTTTTTTTAATGTCAAGTTGTTCATTACAAAGCAGCAGACTAAATTTGACAAGTTACTGAAAATATAATGGAATATGTAGGGAGGTCTCAGCTTTTATTGTGTTAGGGTCCTGGCTTATACACATGTGGGGATTGTAAGAACGTCTTTTTTTACTTTGTGAGTTGTTTGGTAACTTTTATTTGTTTGAATATTGAGGAGCAGCTGAGTGTTTAGGCAGAAAATCCAAATCCCTTCCTCTTGATGAAAATAGTGGTAACTGTGATTTTTCCAGATTAAAACCCAGTGGTTTGTGAGTTATGTTTTTCATTTTAAGATGCATCCTGTATAAAGTATCTGACTAATTAAATTGTGGATTTCATGCAGTGTTTGATGTTACGTTGATTCTGAAAAGGACCAGGCAAGCTGACAACTTTTTTTTTTTTTTTGCCAGGATGATAGGGAAGAAAGTTACATTTGTTAGCATACTATGTAGCTATTTAGATTGTCTGTGATCCTGTGAGACTTTGCACTGAGTTAAAAGGTCTCTTAAAACTTGCCCTCACCTATAACTCTTCTCAATGCCATTATTCCTGAATAGGTAACTCTAATCTTTCTCACTGTGGTGTAATTTGTTTTCATCCTCATTCTCCTATCATTGTCAGGGCTTAAACTTTCTTTTAAAAAGAGTAAAATCTTCATTTGTTCTGCGATCATAAGATTTATGGTGCTGTGTACTATTGGAGAAGAATGAGAAATTGCAGTTGCAGTTAAGTCCAACTTTCTAGAAAGTATATTAATTCAGAGATGAAGATTTGCTTTCATATAAATTAAATAGTTGGATACTAAATTGTGAATATGATCAGTATAAAATGCCCTGAAATTTTTAGGCTGAGTGATTGTCTTCATATGCTCATGTACTTGAAGGCATTTTCTCTGCAGAGGTTGGCAATTACTGATTGACTTTCACCTGTTGTATGCTGCAAATGCACCCAGAATCTTGAGCAGCTCACAGATACATGGAGGCTACACTGCAAAGTAAAATAATTTTTAAAATTCCAATTTTCTGTTGAAGGTATAATCATTTTAGCTGGCAAAAAGATGGATATTGTATGAATATTTGCTTTAGCTCTAGTGTAGATTATTTAAAATCATTATCAGTTATGCAGTGATATCTTTATGGGTTAGATTAGATTTTCTCCTGATTGATTAAGCAAATATTGTACAAAACACAACATTATATAAGCAGCTATTCATGGTGGCTGTTTCTTCATGTCTTGTAGTAGATGGAATCATAGAATAGTTTGGAACAGAGTTGGAAGGGGCCTCTGAGGCCATCGAGTCCGACCCACCTGCCGCGGGCAGGGCCCTGTTGCACTAACCCCTGCTGCTCAAAGCTCCTTCCAGCCTGGCCACGACTTGCAGGGATGGCAATACCAGAGTGGACAGTTGTAGTCAAGCTGGTCTTGTGTTACTACACATGAAACAGGGTGATGGCAAGGTTGTGCTAAAACTGTGCTTCTGTGTGACTAAGACACTTGGAAAAGTTATCCTGTAAATATTGTGGAATGTAGGATGGGACTTTTCTTTTGATTCTTTTAATGCATGAAGCATCTGCTGCTTGTGAGGGAGGAAGCGTGTAAGCATCTTGGGGTAATACTCTGGCTGTAGGATTAGATTTGTGAACCACGGTCTTTGTATAAACAACAGGCAGTTACTTTTATCATTTTAACATTGATGAAGACCAGTGATTTTTATTTACTTTACCACATCTGTGTTGCTTAACACTTAAAATGCAAAACTGAATTCATTTTCTATAATGTTTCATGATAGCAGCTAAGGATATTGTTTGCAGCAGTCAGCAACCATGTGGGAGACTTAAAGTACAACTTTGGCTTTTCCCTCTTGGCAATAAAATATTATAGCTAGGGAAAAAATTGTTCTTAATTTATTAATAAATAATGAGAAACTGCAGTACACACTTGGGAAATTCTTATCTTAAAAGTCTGTTGATGATAACAACCTTTGACTGCATATTTCTGTTTATTTCCACTTCTACTTCAGGCGTTAAACACTTGGGAGTTATTACAGAACTTCTGTGAATATCCAATTATTTTCAAAAACTAAACATGGTACAAAATTGTTTTGACTATAACAGTGTCTTAGAGGGATTGCATTTTTGTTTTTCTCCTTTTTTTTTAATGTTTTGCATGTATGTTTCTTCAACATAATGTGCCACATTTTTTGAGTGTGGATCTAGCTGAGGTGGATGCATCCTGCTGGCTGTGTGCCTCCCATAATTTTTCAAATGTTCACATATTTCATTATCGCTGATGATATCCCCATATTGGTACCCTGAGGACATAGGGAAGTGACTAGAGCAGCTAGGAAACAACTTTTGATTAATCTTCATAAGAAAAACTGGGATAAGACTATTTTTCCATATTTGAAGACTGCTAGCAAGAAGTAACAAGTAGTTGTGTGTCAACAGTTCTGCACTGTACTGCTCTGGAATTACTTCTGAGCTAGAGAACTCTTAGGCAAAGACTCCCTGCCTGTGGGTGACAGTTGTGTTGTTGTTCTTAATTTGTTTGTTTGTGTGGTTGTTTTTTGCCCATAAACCCCCACTGGGAGATAACATACCTCTTGATGTTCAGTTGTTTCTAATTTTTAATTACCATAGTAGGATAGGAGACACTTTTTGAGAGGTAGGAAACTAAATTTGAAAGGGGTAATGGCTTGTATTGCTTGTTCCAATTAAGATAATATGTGATGAAAGTCTCATTTGCTGGAGCCCATTCATCCACAATGCAGGGCACATCAGCTGCTTTTGGGGGTTAGCTGCTAGCAGAAAATTGTCAGCAACAATTTGGATCTAGATTAAAATATTTGAGTTGGTTGAATATGAGATTTTTAACTTCTCTGCCTCAGGTGGTGGGTTTGGGTGGAGATGTCAGGTTACCAGGAAAAAAAACTTGGCCAGTCTTTGCAATGTCAGCCCCAGAGCTGCTTTTACAGATACTCAGTGAAGAGAGCCACCTTAAGAGAACCACAGTTCTTAAATAAGTCCTGAAGATCTGATTGAGGAATTCATGGCCAGGGACATGAAGGGCAACAAGAGGAGCTTCTATAGGAATGTCAGGGATAAAGGAAGACTAGAAAAATTGTCTCCCCTCTCCAGAAGGAATGGGGAGACCTGTTCACCCAGAACCTGGGGGTATTCAGTGTCTTTTTTGCCTCAGTCTTTACCAGCAAATATTCCAGCCAGACTGCCCAAGTCCCAAAAGGGAAAAAGGCAGTGACTGGGAAAATAAAGAACTGCTCACTCTGGAAGATCAGATCCAAGAACACCCAAGGAACCTGAAGGTGCACAAGTCTATGGGACTGGGTGAGAGACACCCCCACACACCTTGAGGAGAGTGACACATGAGGTGGCCAAGCCACCATCCATCGTATTGAGAAGTTGTGGCAGTCCAGTGAAGTTCCTACTGAAACATAACTCCATTTTAAAAAAAGAGAAATAATGAAGACCTGGGGAACTACAGGCCAGTCTAACTTTAGTGCCCAACAAAGATCATGGAGCAAATTGTCCTGGAAGCTATGCTAATGCATATGGGGAATAAGGAGTTCTGCTTGATCTCCCTGGAGAAGAGAATGCTCCAAGGAGACCTTCCAGTACCTAAAGGTGGCCTACAAGAGAGCTGGGGAGGGACTTTGTACAGGGGCATGACTGGATAAAGGGAATGACTTTAAACTGAAAGATGCATAGTTGAAATAATTCCTTTTCATATCTGCAGCAGAAGTGGGCCATATATGTTCTTTACATATGACTGATTCCTTAAGTAGGTAGAAGATTCTAGGTTGCCTGTCAAAGCACAACACTTTTTTTTGGAAGTTGGTAGTGGTTCTTGCAGCTGAAATAGTTTGAAATTTTTGATATAAAGTCTACTGAGAAAAAAAATCACCTGTTGATCTGTGATGGTAAAGTATTGCTTTGGCTTGGCAAAATATCTAAGGATATGTTGAACTCCTAAGTTTGTGCTCACTGCTTGGTTTTGTTTTGTTTTTTAATTAAGGATATATTAAAATGGTTTTTATTAAAGCAGGTTGCATTCCAATAACAGAAGACTTGGGACTTTAAAAAAAAAAATTAACACTCTTGTATCCATGACACTATCTATGAACTATCTTCACAGCTTTTCTGGAGTGACAGCTTACTTGTAATTGTTAAGAAACAAAAACTTCCCTGCATTTCATGATATGAATGAAATGCAAGGTGTGGGGCAGGGGGAATGTGGAAATACCAGATATTTCTTCTGGTGCAACATTTAGTTCTGTCCTATTGTGTACCTGTCTGAAGTGCTAATACTACATATTTGCATGGTCCTTAAATTGTTTGGTTTGATTATTTTTTATTGAAACAGGCAACAACAGAGAGACCTTTTATACAGAAGCTATTTCGACCAATTGCTTCAGGAGGACAGTTGCATACTTTGGGAGACCTGCTAAAAGATGTGTGTCCTACTGCAATCACCCCTGAAGGTACTGAAGAAATAACTTATCCAATAAGATAATTCATTTTCTGTTGATTTATTGGGGTTTTGGGGTTTTTTTAGGTTTTTTTTTGTTGTTGTTGTTTTTGTGGGGGTTTTTTTGTTTTGTTTTTAATATGAGTATTTTGGAGGGAGAACTCAGTGCCAGAGTTTCAGATTTCATTAATTCCTGGCTCTTTACTGTGCCCTGCATGGTTTCCAGAAGGTAAGATTGAGTCCTTAGTCACTCCTGAAAAATTCATCTCTAAAAATTTTGTTCTGAAATTCCTGTACTCTTTTGGTGTACACATATTCACATGTTATTTTCTACACTTCAAAAAATTTATGCAAGTGTCAGCAGATTTTAAGTTGCCTTTAATTTTGCATTCCAAAAACTTTTTATATGTAAAACTCCAAAACTTACAGAAATTGAAAGTGTTTTCAGAATGTTTTTTTCTGTTCTTGAAGTCCAGCCTTTTAAAATGTACTAGTAAGAGATTTTTACAAGTATATAATAGTTTATGTATGATTACAAATTAATATTGTGTGAGCAATCAATGTAGCATATTATTTCATACAATAGCATTTGTTGATCTGCACTTATTCAGTAAATAGGATGGATGCAATTTTAGTCTCAAAGCTTACAAGTATTGGAACTGTGATATATGTTTTAGGGGGGATAAATGTAACAATTATGTCTCTGCAAATTAGGATCAAAATTATTTAATGCAAAAGGTTTTTTATTTATTCTTGCTGTCATCTTACCAGTACCTGTAAATGAGCATCTTACAAGAAATGTGTGATATTCTAGAGAAGGTCTTGGCACAGAATATACTGGTGTAGTATCAGCATCTTTTAACAGTGAAGCACTGAACTGGAAATCAGTATAAAATTCTGCAAGATTTTGTTGTACACAGAAGTTGCTTGATTCAAAATTAAACAGTTGTCACAGATTCCTCCCAGTATCAGGATCTTAGAAATTCACTGAAATATCAAAGTACTTTTTTTACCCTTCTTTAATACTTGTTAACACATGGGAACAATTTCCAAAAATAACAGAAGATAAGAAAAATATGGAATATTGCTAACCATGTGTCCATTTTTCATAAAGCTATTTGAAATTTTGGAGCATTATTTTAAGTAATGCTTTCCACTAACTGTCCAAAAGATAAAGAGAGATACCAATAAATACATGAATGTTAGCACCAGCAAGTTTAACCATCTTTAAGTACTTCACTGTCAGTATCATACACACCCTACTGAAAAGGTAGAGAGGGAATTTTAAAAAATCATTGAGAAGGATGGATGCATTTTAACTTGAAAGGCAGTCGAGCACAAATTAAATCATAAGCATTTATGCACAAGTTATTCCAGGATTTAAGGGATGACAATTTTTATGCACATTTGCCAAAGCTGTAGATGGTGAATGTGCTAGTTAACTGCCCTTATTGAAAGTGTGAGTGTAATACAATTCTGTCTGAATACCATGATGGTGCTTCCCATCGGTAGGCCTTCTTTTCAGATGTTGACAAAAGCACCAATCTTGGATAGTAGAACAGAAATATACTGTGCTAATTGCTTGCTTCATTTTTGTTAAAAGTTAAAAAAGCTTACATTTATTCAACCTGGACAAGGAAAAAGTTGGAAGAAGAGAAATTAAAGTAGGTACTGTTCTTACACATACGAGGAGGGATGTGAAATTCGGTGGGTTTTGGAGTGTTGGAATGTCTGTTCCTGTATACATCTGCTTAAATTTGACCCAGTTTTTACTGAGCAACTTGGAAACTTCAGAATTTAATAGATCTGGTCCCTCACATGGGTGTGAGCTATCCAGAACTCGACACATTTTCTCCTGTAACACAGCTTTGTGTTGTAGTTCAGTTATTCCTCTGGTGTTGTGAGCATTCTCCCCTTCTGGTGTGCTGGAAAGTCAAGGAAGCTGTCTGAGCTGAATGCAGAAAACAATGTGGGCTTCTGAGGAGATGTGGGGGTAGACTGATACACAGAGCCAGTGGAGGGGGTTTGAGAGTCTGACTGAGCAAGTAATTTGGAAGAAAATGACAGATCTGGGAATCATTAAATGTGATTGGGAGAGTGACTATAAACAATGTGGCAGAATGAAAGAGATTGGGGCAAAAGCCAAAACCAGACATAATAAATGTGAACACCTGGACAGAGTAAGTGGGGTAGGAGATGATAAAAGGATGAAGGAGAAAAAGAAGCATCTTGCTTGTAGAGCATGTACAGAGCTTGTGCAAGACATCTGTGAAAGAATGGTGAGTAGGTATCCTGCTGGCCAAGTGATTCAGAGAAGGGATTTGGAGGAGCAAATTGAATCAGAAGTTGAAAAGAAGGGTAGTTTGTGCTGGCAGAATGACAAGCTGCAGGTGAAGAGGTGGTCAGGTGGAGCTGGGGATTGTCTGATGAAGGACTGAGGAAAGCCTGTTCAGGGTTGCTGTACTGCAGACAGGAATACAAAGCAGAAATTTAGGCATGGCAACATGGAAAGTAAAAAAGGAAGAAGCAGAATTAGAACAAAACAAAGGGATGATCAAGAAAGGTTCAGGCATAAAGGACACTGACCTGAAAAGATGGATGTCCATGACAGCAGTGGTTCTTACTGCTAAGGATCATGGACAAGGAAGGACACTGCTGGTTTAGGCTTGATTGCTAGAGGTCATCATACTCTGTTCACTGATTATTCAGTTTAGCCAATAAGTGCGTTTGATTAGTCTCTTTCTTGACTAAATCCACTTATTTATTATTCAAATGTAATGTGCAGTATATTAAGTCTTCATGCTCTAATACAGCTTTGAGCTATTAAAAAAACAGCTAACTCACCAGACTGTTTAGAGTTTTGCCTGTAGAAATGTTAGCAGCTATAATGAGGAAAAACATCACTCTTTTCCACCATATAGGCTAAACTCCTGAGACTGCAGAAGCACAGCACATTTGTGCTATTGAAGTCTCCATGAAACTCATTCAGTAAAATAATTTTCTCTCTGATGCTGGATCATTGAGAATTTAACAAATTTCCTATGTCAGCAGATGTTCCATCAGTTCAAAGTACAGAAGAGGTATGAATATAGGAGAGTTTAATTTGCAAACATGTTTTGGAAACCTGGGATACTACACCTAAAGGTTTTACTTCTGAAGCAGTTGTCTTCATTTGAAGTTGAATATTTGAAGTTTAGAAGGTGTCAGAGCTGTAGACTGGCTGTACAATCATAATTTCCTTACATACTTACCATTCAGCTTATAATCACTCTCTGCCTCTCATCTCTCTTTGTCTCCTATGAGACTATTGTCTTTCTGCCCAGGCTGGGCATGTTTTAGTGTCAGGTGTGTTAGTGAAAAATCACAGTCCTGATTCTTGAAGGGATAAATCAAGAATTAATGTGCTTCAATAAGTATTATAATTTAGGCAGCTGAATACTGCCTTTGGGAAGAGAATTTAATTCTTTTTTCCCTGGAGAATTCATTCATATGTAATCACAGGCAAGCTGAGTGTTACAAATCCTATGGAGAGGAGCATCAGAAAAATCCAGTGATCAGTGTGATTGTTCTGCTGAACAGTTTGCTTGCTTGTGCTTGAAATCAGTGAGAACTCTGGGCCTTTGAGTGTGCAAACCCTAGGCACATTCTAAAGTAAAGTTTAGGCCTTTTGTACCACCCTCCAAAAAACTTAAATTTCTGACTATAATATCACTTTGACTTCAATTTGTGATCTCTAAAATTATGATAATTCAGGAAACTCTTGTTAAAATTATTTCTAAAGGAAAAATAGATTGTAGTCAGACATTAAAAATTGTCTTTTTTAGATCTTTCTTAGTATCTTCTAATATTTTTCTTGTAAACATGTATGTTTTGTCTTAATCTACACTTTATTCTGGTGGAGGCATTAAAACAATATTGCAACAAACCAGAATACATTATCAAAGGTTTATTAGAAAATAATTTAAAAGTTTTTTCATGTCTGGATTTTCAGACTATTCAGTTATTAAAGTTTAATTTTCTTAATTTTTCTGAACAAAGGAAATAAAAGTAGTATATCATCAAAAGTATGCTTAAAGGTATAACAGATACTGGAAAAGCAGGTTTTTAAAATCTTTTTACTCTTCTTTTCAAAGCCATTTAGATAATTTTCCAAGCTGTATTTAACCTCCCTCTTTAGTGAATTGATTCACTGATGACATTAACTGCATCTTTTCTTCAGTGCAACAAAATCAATATGAGCTTCTTCTGTTTTCTCCATCTGTTGACTTTTCCCCCCCCTTTTCCTCTATGGTTTTCTCTTTTCCAATGACTTTTCATTCAACTGGAAGCTTCACGGTAATTGTGGTGGTTGCTTGTCTGTGGTGACATCCGTAACTGAGCTTTGTGCCGTGGGAACACAGGGAATATATGGTTTTCAGACTCTGCATTTGTAGCTCTACACTGAGCTGTTCCTGCTGCCAGATTCTTAGGGACCACCACAAGAGGAGGGAGGGAAGGGTTTCAAGAACCACCCACAGTGTCTATATGCCTTTGCTTTAGGAAGCATGGATATAATTAAGTCTTCCTTTTAACTGTGCTGAGAAAAATGTTTCAATGAAAAAATGTATTTTTATATATATGTGGCTCAAATATATGCATTGATTACCAACTGTTGAGAACACGGTGTAAAGAGCACTGTCAAAAGAACAGGTTGAATAATGACATTAAAAGATTGATAGTGAAAATGGTCTTTGTAAAATGCTGTGTCAATATTATTTTGGACTATTATAGGCTGCGGGTAACTGTTTAGAATACTGTATTTTATTTAAATTAGCTTATGAAACTATTTATTCAAGCCTTTTATTGTTCGTTGAAGTGCTGTAAAAAATGAAAACTTTGAACTGTTATTGTCCCATCCCATACTTTTCTCTCTCCTCAGAGAGAGGTCCTTTATTTGATTTTATATATATACATAATCTTTTTTTAAATAAAATACCTACATGTCTGTGAATTTTTTTTTTTCTGCTTAATGAG